CAAAATATTTAGAAGCTAACCAGCTAAATAAGCCGCTACAATCTGCCTATAAACCTTTCCACAGTTGTGAAACCGCCCTTGTGCGCTTTCATAATGACATTTTGGTTGCTATTGATAAACGACAGTGTGTTATGCTTCTACTGTTAGTCCTGTCTGCTGCCTTCGACACTGTGGATCACGATATCCTCCTTACAAGATTGCACTCTAAATACTCTATCTCTGGCATAGCTCTTGAATGGTTTCGCTCCTACCTTACTAATCGCTCAGAATTTGCTTTAATCGAAGGGTGTAGATCGCAGTCTCGCGAGCTGAAGTGCGGTGTACCTCAAGGTTCTGTCCTTGGACCGATTCTGTACTCCACACAGCACCACTGGCCGACATTCTACGATTCCACGAAATACAATTTCACTTTCACGCCGATGACACTCAATTGTATATTTCTTTCTCTACAAACAACGACATGGAATTAACCAACAGTATCGCTAAGATTGGGAAATGCCTGTCCGACATTAATAAGTGGATGTCCATCAACAGACTAAAACTAAACAAAGATAAGACCGAGCTTCTCTACTTATTCTCAAAGTATAATCCACAACTATCCCTACCCCCTCTTCGCTTTGGAACTGACATAATCAAGCCCTCTCCACATGCAAGAAACATTGGCGCTATCTTCGATACCACCATGTCAATGCTTCCCCATGTAAACAATGTTTGTAAATCTGCCTTTTATCATCTTCGCACCATTTCGTGCATAAGGAAATACTTATCAACGCAAACTACTGAGATTCTTATCCACGCCATCATAACTTCCAAACTCGATCACTGCAATTCTCTACCATATAATGTCGCTAAAAACGTCATCGAAAAGCTTCAATTGGTGCAAAATGCAGCTGCCAGACTGATTACACCTTCTAGGAAGTGTGATCATATCACTCCCATCCTCCTCGTTCTTCACTAGCTACCTGTCTCCGAACGAATTAAATTCACCTTCAACGCTCTGCATCAGCAATCTCCAACCTACATTCAAGACCTTATCACCCGCTACTTACCTTCTAGATCGCTTCGGTCATCTTCTACGCTCAGTCTGAATACTTTTAGCTTTAATTCTAATTTTTTCACTTTGTTAAGCGCCTAGATCTATTACTAGATAGGCGCTATATAAATGTTCTTCTTCTTCTTATTATTATTATTGTTCCTCACTTCCAACAAGCCTGATCGGCATGATGGAAGAGTTCCCAGCCAGCAAGGTGCATCTACAACCTGCAACCTGACTTACTGGGAAGTTTCCCACCAGACGTATCTCCAGACATTACTGGCCAGTTTGGTTGTAGCCAAAGGGCATAATTCAGATCTTTTAAGTGGGAGGGGGGGGGTTAACAAAGATCGGTGTGGCCAAAAGGGCGACATTTTCGCCTTCAGTGAAGAGGGGGGAGCTTCTGACAAAAATCCATGTCACCTATTCTAGACATCAATTGCCCTCCGACACCAACAATTATCTTCATCCCGGCAAAACTCTCGTTCCCGGAACATATTTTTTTCTTCAAAATCTTCCAGCCAGCAAAAATTGGCCTGAAGAACAGATATTATGAGGAACAGATCCATTGGGTGTCCCTGTTTTTCATTTGCCGTGCACCTTACACTGAATAAATAAATTACCAGTTTTAGCCCGTGGGGGAGTTACTCATGAGTGCCTTGATCGCCACTTAGTTCGCAGGGCGCCAAGTCTCACAGCAGCCTACTGAAAGCCAAATTATAAGGATTTGCATAGGAAACCCAAACTCTTATTTGTAAACTGTACATTGAAATTAAATGGGAGATAAAAACTTACCTTTTCTGTTCTTTAATCTGCTGCTGGGAAGAGTGAAAAGAAAGTGGGTATTTGGTAAGAAATTGCTCGTTTAAGTGAAACGAACAATTTCTAATGAATACCCATTTGCCGTCTTAGTTAAATAAAAAAAGCATTAAGCGAAAGTCTTGCTTTGAGTTGGCTTCGAGAAACTTTCATCCATGACAGCCTTTAGACGCTAATCGCCTGTCTTTTGATTATTACTTTTTTCCATAATTCGTACCTTAATTGAATACCGCTTGAATGAAGTTTAATGCGCCCTTTTTATATTTTCTTTATCTTTGCCGAAAAAATTTATAAATACGAAAGAGTTCTCGTTTCTTCCACGGACAGACTAGTAGCTTTTCGAGCCCGAGTTAGCCCTTTTTTTCTAACGTTTATAATTTGCAGTCTATGAAGTCTAACGCACATTTTTCAGTGAATGCACCCCTGAGCATCTGTGTAGGTTTAAGCAATTTATAGTACAAGACTCGTCCACACCCCGGGGGATTTGACAGCTCAAGAGTCGCTACCCCCGGGAATTTGCCATCCAAGGCAAAAAAATGCCAATGCCCGGGGGTCAGCCCGGGGGGAGAGGGGGGGGGGGGCTGGGCGCAGGTGGAATTGACTGATGCATTAGTATTTCCTTGGTGACTAAAACAGAAGGGTCATATAATGTATTTATTAATTCGTGGCATTCCTGACACCCGGAAGGAAACAAGATAAAAGAGCGAGGCAGAATTAACCAAAAGAACGAGTTTACAGAGAAAATTAAGGTAAAAGGATCATGTAACAGTGATAAAAACTCAACTTTTATTTCCTTTCAGCATAAAAGCTTACAAACTCCATTCCTAGAAGTAAACCATGAAATCACGAACATTAAGTCATCCTAATAACAAAGCAGTTTCTTCATTCAGATTTCTGCAAGCTAAGTCGCTCCGTTTTTACTAAGGAACACGTCAGACAAATAACAGAAATAGAAAACACAGAGCACAGCAAAGTTTTGGTTGTTTCATATAGCAACTTCGGCGAAAAGACACTCCAGACGAACAAGTGATACCGCTGACTAAATACTAATGTACAGTAAACACAAAGGACCAGAGACTGGCAGACAGCGATAACGTAACACGCTTGGTTGAGAGAGACCTGTAAACTAAAGAAAATGATGAATAAAGTGTTCGTTAGTGTACGTTTAAAATCAAGACTCTTGTAGCAAACTGGGCAGAGCCCGACAATGTAGGCACAGTTCTCATTTATTTGGTAAAATTAGTTACGTTCTCATGGTCAGGGTTAAGATTTCATCTTTTTACCAGGAACTTGATCTGGAATTTTCTCTCTACCGACCAAAGGTTTACCTCGGGGTTTTGAGTCTTTGGAAAAATTCGTCAATGTAACCTTTCAAATCGGAGCCGAAATATGCAGCAATTTCTTTTCTAAGTCGATATGGTAAACATAATGGTTCCATCTTGCGTAGTGTTGCGGATAAAATATAAAAAAGAAACAGATAAAGTGATGTGAAGGTAATCTTGTACGCACCTCACTGCATCTCTGGTATTTCGTATAACAGACAAGATTCCAGCCATCAGCCACAGACAGGGACCGCAATAAGTGGCTACATATGTGAGAGGGACCATAATACTGGGTACAAAATCCTCTAGCCCCACATAGCCCGCAGAAATATCCACAGAGGCCAGGCTGTTTGAGTTCCCAAGGGAAAAGTACATCGCATGGCCCATCCACAAGGAACTGAGGGTAACGATCCACGACTTCTCTTTGCTACGGAGAAAATGTAATAAACAATAAGAAATAACAAAACAGCAAGAGTTCATGATGTAATGAAAAAACTTGTCAAATCTCAAAAGCAAAATTAACTGAATCAACTTCCTTCACAAGCGACAGAGTTCGCGAAGGAGTCTTATAAAGAATTCAAACCTCACCCATAAAAAAAAAACAAGATGTTGAAGGGACACCAAAGTTATAACATTCCAAAATCAAACAAAAAAGTGTTTCGCATCATTTCAGTTTGTTTGTGCGTTTATTGAAAAATTGCCACTTAACATTGCTAGATAATAGTTTTTTTGCAATTGCTTTGATGTTGACCTTCAAAAATGCATCAATTTAATTACCTAGAGGAGTACTCAACAAATGTTTATAAGGGGAGGCTCCCTGGGCATGGAGCTGAATGACCTATATAACTTTTTAAAACGCTATTTTTGCACAAAATATTATATCAATGTCTGAATTAAGACCGTTTGGTTGTATATATATTTTTTCATGCTAGCAGAAATGTTGTATGAAGTCCACAAAGAGTTTGTAAATGCTGCACGAAGGGAAACAAGTTCAGTGCTTAGAGCTAGAGGATATGATGCCATGACTACCCTCAGCTTTACAGGGATCAGAAAAGAGATCCAAACTCTATGTCCCAAATAATTCAGTTTCCTCTCTCCGTAGTGCGGGTAGGAGAGGACCCTGGGAACGAGGTTAGCCATATCACGTGTCCCCGAGGCCTTGGGATCCTACGTTCCGCGTCAAATTCGTTTTCGGTCCTTTGCATTTTGAATGTCAATTTAATCCCGGTCATAATTTGTTGAAATACTTCCGGGAAACATAACAGAAACTTGATCGTTTCATGACCATTCACGCATTGCTTCCCTCCCTCTCCTTCCCGAAAGGGATGGGAAGGAAAAAGTTGCGAGCATTTTAACAATTACGACCGGGACTGCAGCCTGAAACCAAAAGGATGTTAGATCTTGTTATGTGCCGGACTCGTTTTCAATTTACTTCCATGCGGGAGGTAATAGCGGGGAGAAATTGTGATTTCCTGGAATTGTGTGTAACTCTGAGAAATGTTTATAATCCTAGGATGTATTTTAATTCTGAGAAACGCTCTCTCAAACGCTGAATTAATCATGAGCTACTGTATAATAGCAGTCTGGTGGAAATCATCAATATTAATCGTCCTCCTTCAGCGTTGTGAAATTAAGTCTGCCAAACGTTTTTAGTATTGGGTTAACTTTGTAATCCGCCAATGGCAGATAAAGAAAGTAACGGTGAACGGCAAGATTTTACACAACCATGGGAATTTAGCAATGTGGTTCTCGTGGTTGAAGGTGAAAAATTCCATGTTCACCGAACTGTGCTTGCCTCGTACTCCCCCGTTTTCAAGGAGAAGTTTATGTCCGACGAATTTCAGGAAGAAGGGACGAAAGAAATTATCCTTCCCGATAAATTTAAGGCTAACGAGGTGAAGGAGTTGCTTCGGATTATTTACATATACCGTACGAAAGAAGGGATCCCGCCTGATGAAATAAACGAGGAAAATTGTCACTACCTCTTATGCCTCGCACAAGAATTTCAAATGGCAAAGATTACTAAGATATTCGAAGACTGCATTGTCAAAATAATGAAGGAATCTTTTTCAGCGAAAAAGAATCCGGATATCATTGCAGAGCTGGTATTTGCAGAGACGTACAACTTAAAGAAGCTAAAGCAAGCAAGCATTGAGCTGGCCCAAAGTCTTACTCTTCAAGAGTTGAAAAAGCAAAAAGATTACGATAAAATCAGTTCAGACAATCTTCAGGAAATTATGGAAGGAATGCCAAACAAGTGAAGCACCTCATCAGATTTCTGGAACATCACAACGTTAATTTTTCTTTTTAGGGGCCTCCAACGGGAAATTTTGAGGAAAAGACCTAAAAACAACAACAAAGCATGATTAAAGTTTTCTGAAGTCATTTTAAGCATCTAGGGAGATTGCTGGGGAAAATTTTATTTGCTCTTTAATTTACTCCCAACAAGACTGATGGAAGAGTTCCCAGCCAGCATGGTGCACCTACAACCTGGAACCTGACTTACCGCGAAGTTTCCCAGCAGACTTATCTCCAGATATTATGGACCAGTTTGGTTGTGGCCAAAGGACATGATTCAGATCGTAAGTGGGAGGGGAGGGGGGTTTAGGAAAGATCGGTGTGGCAAAAAGGGCGACATTTTCGCTTTCAGTGAAGGAGGGGCGGAATTTCTGACAAAAATCTATGTCACCTATTCTAGACATCAATTCCCCTCAGACACCAACAATTATCTTTTTCCCAGCAAAACTTTTCGTCCCGGAACATATAATTTCTTCTAAATCTTCCAGCCAGCAAAAATTGGCCCGAAGAACAGATATTTTGAGGAACAGATCCATTGGATGCCCCTGTTTTTCATTTGCATGCACTTTACACTGAATAAATAAAGTACCAGTTTTAGCCCGTGGGGGAGTTACTCATGAGTGCCTTGATCGCCACTTATTTCACAGGGCGTGAAGACTTACAGCAGCCTACTGAAAGCCAAATTATAGGGATTTGGATAGGGAACCTGCACTCTTATTTGTAAACTACACATTGATCATTAAATGGGAGATAAACAATTACCTGTTCTGTTCTTGAATCTGTTGCGGGGCGAAGTGAAATGAAAGTGGGTATATATAAGAAATTGCTCGTTTAAGTGAAAAGACCATTTCTAATGCGCTCTTAGTGAAATAAAACAAAGCATTAAGCGAAAGTCTTGCTTCGAGTTGCTTTGAGGAACGTTCATCCATGACAGCCTTGTTTCACTTTGAAGCACTTTATCAGATGGCTGGAGCATCACAACGTTAATTTTTCTTTTTAGGGGCATCCTACTGGAAATTTTGAGAAAGACCTAAAAATAACAACAAAGCATGAATAAGCATTTTGGGAGATTGCTGGGGCAAATTTTATCTGTTCCTCACTCCCAACAAGACTGATGGAAGAGTTCCCAGCCAGCATGCATGGTGCACCTACAACCTGCAAACTGACTTACTGGGAAGTTTCCCAGCAGAAGTATCTCCAGACATTACGGGCCAGTTTGGTTGTGGCCAAAGGACATAATTCAGACCTTAAGTGGGAGGGGAGTGCGGTTTAGGAAAGATCGGTGTGGCAAAAAGGGCGATTTTTTCGCTTTCAGTGAAGGGGGCGGGGGGTGGGGGTGGGGGTGGGGGCGCAATTTCTGACAAAAATCTGTCGCATATTCTAGACATCAATTCCCCTCAGACATCGACAATATCTTTTTCCCAGCAAAACTTTCCGTCCCGGAACATATAATTTCTTCAAAATCTTCCAGCCAGCAAAAATTGGCCTGAAGAACAGATATTTTGAGGAACAGATCCATTGGATGCCCCTGTTTTTCATTTGCATGCACTTTACTCTGAATAAATAAAATACCAGTTTTAGCCCGTGGGGGAGGTACTCATGGGTGCCGTGATCGCCACTTTGTTCACAGGGCACCAATGCAAGACTCACAGCAGCCTACTGAAAGCCAAATTATAGGGATTTGTATAGGGAACCTACACTCTTATTTGTAAACTGCACATTGATCATTAAATGGGAGATGAAAAATTACCTGTTCTGTTCTTGAATCTGTTGCGGGTGCAAAGTGAAATGGAGTGGGTATTTATAAGAAATTGTTCGTTTAAGTGAAAAGAACAATTTCTAGTGAATACCCGCTTGCCGTCTTAGTTAAATAAAACAAAGCATTAAGCGAAAGTCTTGCTTCGAGTTGCTTCGAGGAACGTTCATCCATGACAGCCTTTAGACGCCAATCGCCTTTCTTTCGATTATTACTCTTTTCCATAATTCGTGCCTTTTTATAATTTATTTATCTTTGCCGTAAAAATTGTTGTTTTGCCATATCTTGAAATTTTAATTTTGCTGTCAACCACGTGACGTCATTTTCCCGCCGAAAAACGTTAAAATCGAAAAACAAAAAACATAGGATTTTTTGGAATACAAAGTTCTACCATCCTGCAAAGTTTGAGCTCAAACGAATAAAAAATGCAAAAGTAGTTCCTACCCCGTAATATTTTGCGTCCTATACGCCCACCGTGGTTATGTGTGACGACTCGTTTTCAATTTACTTCCAGGAGGTAATAACGGAGAAATTGTGATTTCCTGGAATTTGTGTGCAACTCTGAGAAATGTTTATAATACTGGGATGTATTTTTAATTCTGAGAAACGCTCCTTTAAACGCTGAATTAATCATGAGCTACTGTATAATAACCGTCTGGTGGAAATCATCAATATTAATCGTCCTCCTTCAGCGTTGTGATATTAAGTCTGCCAAAAGTTTTTAGCATTGGGTTAACTTTTAATCCACCAATGGCAGATAAAGAAAGTAACCGTGAACCTCAAGATTTTACACAACCATGGAAATCTAGCGATGTCGTTCTCGTGGTCGAAGGTGAAAAACTCCATGTTCACCGAGCTGTGCTTACCTTGTGCTCCCCCGTTTTTGAGACGATGTTTACGTCCGAATTTCAGGAAAAAGAGAAGAAAGAAATTCCCCTTCCCCACAAAAAGGCTAAAGAAGTGAAGGAGTTGCTTCAGGTTATTTACCCTACTATAGAAAGGAAGCCACCCGATGAAATAAAAGAGGACAATTGCCACTACCTCTTAAGCCTCGCACATGAATATCAAATGGCAGCCATTACTCAGAGATGCGAAAACTTCATTGTCAAAACAATGAAGGAATCTTTTTCAACGAAAAAGGATCCGGATATCATTGCAGAGCTGGTATTTGCACAGACGTACAACTTAAAGAAGCTAAAGCAGGCAAGCATTGAACTGGCTCAAAGTCTTACTCTTCCAGAGTTGAAAAAGCAAAAAGGTTACGATGAAATCTCTCCACAGAATCTTCAGGAAATTATGGAAAGAATGATAACACGGCTACAGAGTCAATTAAGTGAAGCTAAGCGGTCTCTATCCTATTGCGATAAACGACCTCATGAAATTGTTGGTTTTACTGGCCCGGATGAAAATATTGCATCCATTCAAGAACCAAGCAGGTCATCACAACGTTAATTTTTCTTTTTAGGGGCATCCAACGGGAAATTTCGAAAAAAAAGACACAAAAACAACAATAAAGCATGAATAAAGTTTTCTGAAGCCATTTTAAACATTTTATGAGATTGCTGGGGAAAATCTTATCTGTTCCTTGCTAACAATATCATCATCAAATCCTGTATTTTGGATCCGCTTCCCACCACCCTCCTGAAGCAGCAGTTCGATTTACTTTTACCAATTATCCTGAAGATTGTCAACTTGTCACTGGAATCCGGTCATTTTCCGTCTTCTTTGAAAACTGCTGTTCTATCTCCACAACTTAAGAAAGCCAACTTAGATCATGAAGTTCTTGCAAACTACAGACCTATGTCAAACCTCAAGCTAATCTCAAAAATTATTGAAAAGGTCGTCGCAGTACGTCTTCAAAAATATTTAGGAGCTAACCAGCTAAAAGAGCCGCTACAATCTGCCTATAAACCTTTCCAGAGTTGTGAAACCGCCCTTGTGCGCGTTCATAATGACATTTTGGTTAGTATTGATAAACGTCACTGTGTTATGCTTCTACTGTTAGACCTGTCTGCTGCCTTCGACACTGTGGATCACGATATCCTCCTTACAAGATTGCACTCTAAATACTCTATCTCTGGCGTAGCTCTTGAATGGTTTCGCTCCTACCTTACTAATAGCTCGCAATTTGCGTTAATCGAAGGGTGTAGATCGCAGTCTCGCGAGATGAAGTGCGGTGTATCTCAAGGTTCTGTCCTTGGACCGATTCTGTATGTACTCTACACAGCACCACTGGCCGACATTCTACGATTCCACGAAATGCAATTTCACTTTTACACCGATGACACTCAATTGTATATTTCTTTCCCTACAAACAACGACATGGAATTAACCAACAGTATCACTAAGACTGAGGAATGCCTGTCCGACATTGATAAGTGGATGTCCATCAACAGACTAAAACTAAACAAAGACAGTACCGAGCTTCTCCACTTTTTCTCAAAGTATAATTCACAACAATCCCTACCCCCTCTTCGCTTTGGAACTGACATAATTAAGCCCTCTCCACATGCAAGAAACATTGGCGCTATATCTTCGATACCACCATGTCAATGCTTCCCCATGTAAACAATGTTTGTAAATCTGCCTTTTATCTTCTTCGCATCATTTCGCACATAAGGAAATACTTATCAACGCCAACTACTGAGATTCTTATCCACGCCTTCGTAACTTCCAAACTCTATCACTGCAATTCTCTACTATATGATGTCCCTAAAAACGTCATCAAAAAGCTTCAATCGGTGCAGAATGCAGCTGCCAGACTGATTACAC